TTCAGGGCAGTCTTGGCAGGAGAGGGGACCAGGCGTGAGCCGAGGTGCTCCAGCTGCAGGGACATACTGAGAGAAATGGAGTGAGGTGACCCGGTGGTGAAGCTGAGTCTGGAAGGCCTGGCCTGGGTGGCCATGGGCTGTTTGGCTGGGGAGTCACTCCCCCAAATGCCAATTCCCAGACAGCCCCAGTTACTGCTCCGCGGCTCAAAGCGTGGGTGTGAGGGGCACGCCGGGTCTGAGTGTCGGTGCCTGCTTTCCTGTGGTCACAGGGCCGTGGCTCTCGGGTACCATCTCCTCAAAGACTTCACCTTCCACCAAAGACTCAAAGCCCCATGACCTGCTCCTCCCACAGTCTGGGCCAGGGGGTCCCGGGCTACTGTGTTTCTCCCCAGGTGACCAGTTGTCTCCCAGCCCCAGGCCGGCCCAGCCCCATGGGCGTGCCCCTCCCAGTGCACAGGCCTGTGAGTTTGTGCAGGGTCTCTGTCCCAGCAGACTCAGTGTGGGTGGGATCTGAACCTTTGGGTCTCCACCCTTGGGAGAGTGTCATGGGAGGGAACTGCCCACGGTGGGGCTCCTGACAGGCCTCCGCTGTGGCTGTGGGCTGGGGGTGCTGTGTGTGCTCCGACAAGGCCTCCCGGAGCTTCAGGGCTGATGAGAAGGGTGCTGTTCAGCTTCGTCCTGGTTCTTCTTGGAGCTGCCATCAGACCCTGGGATGTCCGGCAGCAGAGGAGAGGAGGGGTGGGGTGGGATGGCTGGCCGTCCTGTCCTGAGCTCAGGCCAGATTGTTGTTCCCTGCTGGTCCTTGGCCGCATGGACACACGCCCGTGGTCCTCTCCACCCACGCAGCTTCCGCAACTTCGATGTGGAGGAGTCCCACCAGTGCTCCCTGGACTGGCTCATGCTGGGCCCCGCGGCCCCGCCGCGCCAGGAGGCCTTCCGGCTCTGCGGCTCGGCCATCCCACCGGCCTTCACTTCCACCCGGGACCACGTCTGGATCTTCTTCCACTCTGACGCCTCCAGCTCCGGCCAGGCCCAGGGCTTCCGTCTCTCGTACATCCGAGGTGACACCCGTAGCAGGGCATCGCGGGGCACCACGCAGCACCCAGTGCGCCCCTCGGGTCCCCAGGGCTGGAGCAGCCCCCTCCACCTGCCCGCTCCCTGCAGGGTCTCCCCCAGGAACCCCGACAGTCTGAGCACGGAGGCTGGACACGTTGCTGCCTCCTGGTACCTTGGATCCTCGAAGTCACTGACCCTGTGTCCCAGACTTGGCTGGAGTGGGGGCTCACCCTTTACCCTCAGTCAGAGACTCAGCGCACCCTGACATTCCAGGGGTCTTTGTCCCTCGAGTGGCTGTGGAGAGGCCGGGGCCTGCTCCATGTCCTCTGTCTCTTCCTGGGCTCTGCAGAGGCCCTGCTGGGAAGAGCGAGGCGCAGCCCTCCCGACGGTCTCCCCCGTGCTCTTTATCCCACAGGGAAGCTGGGCCAGGCGTCCTGCCAGGCAGACGAGTTCCGCTGTGACAACGGCAAGTGCCTGCCGGGCCCGTGGCAGTGCAACACGGTGGACGAGTGCGGCGACGGCTCCGACGAGGGCAACTGCTCAGCGCCTGCCTCCGAGCCGCCCAGCAGCCTGTGCCCCGGGGGCACCTTCCCCTGCAGCGGGGTGCGCTCCACCCGCTGCCTGCCCGCCGAGCGGCGCTGTGACGGCACGCAGGACTGCGGCGATGGCTCCGATGAGGCCGGCTGCCCTGACCTGGCGTGTGGCCGGCGGCTGGGCAGCTTCTATGGCTCCTTTGCCTCCCCAGACCTGTTTGGTGCGGCCCGCGGGCCTTCAGACCTGCACTGCACGTGGCTGGTGGACACGCAGGACCAGCGGCGCGTGCTGCTGCAGCTGGAGCTGCGGCTGGGCTACGATGACTACGTGCAGGTGTACGAGGGCCTGGGCGAGCACGGGGACCGCCTGCTGCAGACACTGTCCTACCGCAGCAACCACCGGCCCGTGAGCCTCGAGGCCGCCCAGGGCCGCCTCACTGTGGCCTACCACGCTCGCGCCCGCAGCGCTGGCCACGGCTTCAACGCCACCTACCAGGTGAAGGGCTACTGCCTCCCCTGGGAGCAGCCGTGCGGGGGCAGCTCGGAGGGCGTCGCGGATGACACGGGAGAGCAGGGCTGCTTCTTGGAGTCACAGCGCTGCGATGGCTGGTGGCACTGCGCCAGCGGCCGAGACGAGCAGGGCTGCCCTGCCTGCCCGCCGGACCAGTACCCCTGTGAGGGGGGCAGCGGCCTGTGCTACACACCCGCTGACCGCTGCAACAACCAGAAAAGCTGCCCGGATGGCGCCGACGAGAAGAACTGTTTCTCCTGCCAGCCCGGCACCTTCCACTGTGGCACCAACCTGTGCATCTTCGAGACGTGGCGCTGCGACGGCCAGGAGGACTGCCAGGACGGCAGTGACGAGCACGGCTGCCTGGCCGCGGTGCCTCGGAAGGTCATTGCCGCCGCCCTCATCGGCAGCCTGGTCTGCGGCCTGCTGCTCGTCGTCGCTTTGGGCTGCGCGTTCAAACTCTACTCCCTGCGCACGCAGGAGTACAGGTGCGTGGCCCACGGGGCCTGGGGTCGCAGGCCAGGAGCTTCCTTTCTCTGCAGAGAGGCTCTGGGCCCACTGTTCCCACAGCTGTGGGTGTGCAGGGTGGGCCCCAGGCGGTCCCCACTGGGCTTCTCTCATGCACCCAGGGTCCGGGCATCTCGGGATCTCCAGAGGGAGTGGCAGGGCCCCGCATCCTGCTGTGAGCCCTCGCGTGGGGCCCCGTGGGAGGCGGAAGTGTGGGATCCTGGCCAACCCTGCTGTGCTCCCCTTCTGCCTGTTGCTTTCAGGGCCTTTGAGACCCAGATGACACGCCTGGAGGCTGAGTTTGTGCGGCGGGAGGCACCCCCGTCCTACGGGCAGCTCATTGCACAGGGCCTCATTCCACCTGTGGAGGACTTTCCCGTCTACAGTGCGTCCCAGGTGAGCGAGCTCCCGGGAGGATGAGACCCTGCAGCCTCCGGCCTCCCACCGGACCTCAGGGGGTGCTCAGACCGGAAGCCTGCGGGGAGGGCTGGACCAGGCAGCCCCAGGGGTAGAGGGAGGCGGGAGGCGAGGCCTGGGGAGGGTGACACAGGGTCCGTGCCAGATGGGGGACGAGTTGGTCTTTTGGGTTTCTTGGGGGTTGTGCTGACCTCTGCCCTCTCAGCCGTCACCCTGCTCTCCAGGCCTCCATGCTACAGAACCTTCGCACGGCCATGCGGAGACAGATGCGCCGGCACGCCTCCCGCCGAGGGCCCTCCCGCCGCCGGCTGGGTCGCCTGTGGAATCGGCTCTTTCACCGGCCCCGGGCCCCGCGGGGCCAGATCCCGCTGCTGACGGCTGCACGCCCCTCACAGACAGTGCTGGGCAACGGGCTCCTCCAGCCTGCACCAGGGGCCGCCCTGGACCCCCCGGGGCCCCTTACGGACACAGGCAGCCCCGGGGCGGCTGGAGACGAGTCCCCCACTGCCCCCAGCCACGCACCAGAGGTGGGGCCTTCCGTGCTGCCTGCCTCGGGCCTGCAGGATCCAGAGTACAGGCCAGTGGACAAGGACAGGAAGGCCTGCAGGGACCCTCTGGTGGACAGCCCAGCTCCTGTGGACACGCCTCGGGAGCCTCGCTCAGCCCAGGACCCTCATCCCCCGTCCCCCACTGCCAGCAGCACCCTAGGCCCCCACCCACCAGAGCCACTCGGCGTCTGCAGGAGCCCCCCATCCCTCTGCTCCCCAACGTTGGAGGCCAGCGACGACGAGGCCCTGCTGGTCTGCTGACCCACGGGACATGCTGGTGCCTGCCACAGCCCCGCTTTGTAACCAGGGAATATACAGTCGTTTCTACCCTGCCTCCGAGTCCTTTTTTCTTGCAGTGTGGCCCACCCAGAAACCCAGCCGGCTTGCCGCAGCAGCACCCTCCAGCCCTGGCCACGGGGCTGCAGGGGCTTCAGCAGGGGAGGAGAGTGATGAGCCCTCTTTGGGGCCCCGGTGTCCACACAGGCACCTGGGGTCTCACTTCTCCCTCCCGCCTCCACTTCGGGAGCCCATTTCCAGAGACGCAGGAGGGCCAGGGCAAAGCTTTCCGGGGTGTTCCGCCGCTTCTCGATTTATTCCCCCGGGGGTGCAGTGCTGTGCCTGCACTGAACAGGGCTGTGGGCACATGGGATCTAGGCCATGGTGGGCACTCTTTGGGCACTGAGCTCTCCTCAGCTCCCAGCAGGCCCTGGAGGAGCTGGGCTAGGAGGCTTCTGCCCCTGTCCTCAGGTGGGGGTGTCAGCATGGACCTGACCAGGCTGGTGACCCTTTGTCCTCTAGCTGACAGCATCCTCCTCCTGGGTGCTGGGGCACTAAAAATGTGGGCACGGGGTAGAGGAAGCCCATGGGTCTCTTGCAGGCCCCAAGGCCCTAGGGGATGACACTTGATACTTTCTCAGGGGACAGAGGAGGAGGCACACGTCGACAGTGGCCCGGCAGTCCCATCTCGCTCAGGGCTGTGTTCTCCTTACCTATAAACTAGGGTGAGGCCGTGCGCTCTGAAGCCCTGCTGCTCTGTCTGTGGGGACTTATGGGATGAACGTAGTTACGGAGGGAATCCCTGGACTCTGCTGGGGGCTGAGCCTCGGCCTGGCCTTGCCGGGCCTGGGGTGGGCACACCAGCCACTTCCCGATCCTCGACGTCCCTCCTTCTGGGGTGGTCCCAGAGAGGGAGCACCCGGATCGAGTGGCAGAGCCCCCGTTCGGAGGGCCTCCTCCAGAGCCTGCCCGTACCTTCCCTGCGGGCCCCACGTGCCCCCCCTGCCCGAGGCCCGCGCACCACCAGCCTGGTGTTGTTCACACATTCCTTCGGGAAAAGCTGGCAGGGAACGGGGGCCATGTCCTAGGGCTTCTTTCACACAGGCCTCTAGGAGTGGGATCTCTTTTTTTTTTCCACAAAAAACAACTTTTTTTTTTTTTTTTTTTTGCAAAACACCACCTCAATAAACAACGTGTAAACAGAAATAGCTGCTTCAAGCTCCACAAGTATCTCATTGTGTCTTCAAGGGCTTGTCCAAGGAGGGTAGTGGGGAGGGCTGGACAGGGCCATTTTCCTCCTCCTCCGGGGCACCCTGGGGGTAGACCACGAAACACAGCTTCTGGCCCCAGCGTGTCATTGATTCTGAGGACAGACAGACAGACAGACAGACCTTGGGTCCAGCCCCATGGGACAGGGTCCTCAGGGAGCTGCTCTCTACGTGGCGGGTCCTGGACACGTGGGCCACGTGTGGGGAGGTGTTTGGTGGTGGTCAGGCCCCGTGTCGCCAGCACAGCTCAAAGGCGAGCTCCGGGCAAGCCCCCGCGAGGGTCCCATCTCCAGCCCCGGCCCCCGGGGGAGGCTGCCCCGCTCACCAGTGAGTCTGTGCACACACTTTGGTTTGCTTCTCCAGAACACTCCCAGGAAGAAAACGGGCACCCCGGTGAGGATGATGATGACGCCGACCCCACACACCATGGGCTCTGAGATAAAGCTGAAGACCAGCAGGAAGGCCCAGAAGACCAAGTACGTGGCAGGGACAAGGAGGTTCACCTGTGGAGAGTGAGCGGGGTGCCCATGGTGCGGACCCCCTGCTCCCTGCCCCACCACCCCGGGCACCCCAGCGCTTCCCCCCTTCCCTGGGAGCTGAGACCTGAGAGGCTGGCCCCCTTCTGGCAACAGCCCAACCCTCTGGAAGCCCATTCGTCCCTGGGCGGCCAGCTGGCCAGATTGCCGAGGTTTTGTCGGAACGTCAGCAGGCCTGACCTCCGCGCAGTGACTGGGTGTGGACGTGCAGCTTGCACCTGGCAGAAGGTCAGTTCTCTTCCGGTCTGCCAGGTTTCCGGCACCGAACACTTCTCCAGCTCAAGGGTTTAGATGCAAATGGGGGGACTTTTAGCTCAGTTTAGAGCCTTTTGAAGGGAGGGGTCCTTAGAGCCCCTTTCGCTGTGGGCTCGTGGAATCTGGTGCAGAGTGCCTGGTGCGTGAGCGAGTGTCTTAGCCTCGTGTTCCTGCCTGTAAACTGGGGGGACGCAGAGCACCCGCCTCGTGGGGCTGTTGGGAGGACCGTAGAGGTCAGTGCACACAAAGCATGTGCAAAAATCACCTGGCACTGATGCTCGACGTGGGTGAAGCCCTGAGCGCTTCCAGCACGTCCTCCCCCCGGCCTCACCTTGATGGGCCTGTGGAGCGCCGGCCGCCTCCAGCGCAGCACGAGCAGGCCCAGGATGGTGACGCCGTAGCAGAGGTAGTTGATGAAGGACACGTAGTTGATGAGCGTGTATGTGTCTCCCACAAGCATGATCACCGCCGTGGCCCCGCACTGGGGGAGGGCCGAGCTGAGGGCTGGCCTCCCGCCTGCCTCCCGTGGCCCCTGCAGGCTGTCCTGGGCCTTCCAGCTCAGGCCGGGAGGCTGGTGAGCACTGGCCCTCCCCTCCCCCTCCGTGGGCTCCTCCCTGCAGGTTCCCCACATTGCCCAGTGGCTGGGGCTCCCTGCCCTACCAGCACAGGTCCCCCAACTTACGCAGACGAGGAGGGCAGGGATGGGGGTGCAGCGTCTGACGTGAATCATGGCTAGCAGGCTGGGCAGGTGCCCTTCTCGGGCTCCAGAGAAGCAGAGCCTGGGGGACAGAGGTGGTGGGGGCTGTGAGCCTGGCGTGGGGCCTCCCCGCTGGCCAGTCTGTGGACCTGAGTTCTAGACCCGCTGTCCCTCTTGAGTTGGCACCTCTGGCCCCTGCCCCAGGCCCCAGCGGCCCCGCTCTGCAGTTTTCCCACTTTCTAGCCTGCCTTCCTCTTGCTTCTTGTTCCTCAGAGCTGGGATCAGACACCTGTTCCTGGGGAGTTCATCGTCCTGGCTTTGGAAGGGCCCCACCTGGTAGGATTTCTCTGCTCCAGCAACTGCTTGAATGCCAGGGCACCTACCTTGCCTCACTGGGACAACCCTCTCCCCAGCCCAGTCACCTGGAGGAGGTGAACAGGTAGCCATTGATCCCTCCGAAAGTGGAAAGTGCCACGGACACGGGCATGACCCAAGAAAAGTAGCCCAGCAGCTTCTCCCCGAAGGTCTGAGTGAGCACAAGAGAGAGGTGGTGCGTGAGCCGGGTGGGGGCAGGGCGGGGCCGGGCTCCGAGGGGGCCCCACTCACCACGGCCACTGCGTTGGAGGCCAGCAGCTCCTGGGGGGACATGGCGGTGAAGTAGGCGACGTTGGTGAAGGTGTACACAAACGTCACCAGCGGGATGGAGATGAAGATGGCCCGAGGTAGGTTCCTGGGGGCAGCGGTGGGGCACATCAGTGTGGGCCCCCTGGGGGCAGGGGCAGGCGGGCGGAGGTGGGCCAGGGAGGCGGGCTGTGCTGCTGTCTGTCTTGCCCCCACCCCCGACCCCCTAACCCTAGCTCGGGTGCAGGCTGGTGGGAGGAAGGGCCATATCGTATCCTGAGGGGCAGGCCTAATGCCTGCAATAAGAGAAAATTGCACACAGCTAAAATAAGCCTTGAAAGTCCCAGAAGTGCCCCAAGAACTCCTTCCATAGACCTAGGGGGCCCCTGGGACTCCCCATGGACCCAGCCTCTGCCGGAGCTGCCCACTATGAGGTCCCTGGCTGAGCGTCGGATGGAGCCACTGGCTTCACCTGCAGGTCCATGTTGTGCGTACATGTGTGATTTTTGGCTAAATGCAAACAGCGGGACCCATTTACAGTAGAACAGTGATCCTCAGGGTTTCTGAGGCCCAGCAAGGGGCTGTGACTTGCCCACAGCCCTACAGGGCCAGGCAGGAAGACACACATCCTGGCTGTCTATCCAGAGCCATTCCTGTGGGGCAGTGGCGTGGATAGGCGGACAACCATGCTGAGGCACAGGGGACAGCAGGTCTGTTCAGGGAGCTGCCTGTCCCATTGTCCAGCCCCACCACCTCCCAGGGCCCAGCCCAGTGCCCTGCTCACTTCCGAGGGTCAACTAGTTCCTCGGTGACATAGTTGAGGAAGTTCCAGCCGCTGAAGGCAAAAGAGCCCTGCAGGAAGGCCAGGGCCAGGTGACCCACAGAGGGCGTCATCCAAAAGTCGAAGGCATTGCTGGGCCTCAGCTCCTCGAAGTGTCCTGGGGGTCCAGAGGTCAAGGGTCAGTGTCATCTCCCCAGCCTCGGGCATAGCCCCGCCCTGGCCCTACCTTGGAAGATCTGGACAAAGCCCATGCCAATGATGAGCGACAGGGCCAGCAGCTTCCCGCCGGTGAAGATGTCCTGGATGCGTGTGGCCCAGCGCACACTGGAGCTATTCACCCACGTCAGGAGCACTGGGGAGAAGAGGTGAAAGGGCGGGTAGGCCGCAACCGAGTCCACCCGAGTGGCAGGGGGCACATGCTCTGCAGCAGACGGAGGGCAGGCAGCTCCCTGCTGCGGCCGCCCTCTCTGGGGCTCGTAGCTGGAGTGGCTCCTCCTCCCCACCCACGCCGAGGCCGGTGGCAGAGGCCCAGCCCAGCCCCAAGGTGGGTACTCACTCAGGCAGGCCATGGAGAGTACGCGGGAGGCCGCGGCCGGGGGGATGCAGTTGGGGAACACGGGCTGCAGTATGTAGTTGGAGAAGGTCATGGAGATCACGGCCAGGCTGGTGGGGTACATGATGAGGACCGCGCTCCAGAGCAGCAGGAAGCTGAAACGAGCGAGGGCCTGAGTGGCAGGGGCATCCTGTCCATCGCCTCCCTGGCAGAGCAGGCCCAGGTGTGTGGAGGGGGTGCACCCTGGGTCCTGGAACCCAAGGGCTGGTGCTTGTGTTGGAGGCTAGATTTGGTCCAGGGAGGCAGATTTCAACAGACTGCATTCAGCAGTTACACAGCTATGAGCTGCCCTTAGGCAGGTGTCGAGAACCACCCAGGGAACCAACCACCTTTCCGATGGCCACACGGCCCCTGGCCACAGGCTGTTTTCTGCACTGGGCTGGGGCGTGGGGGGAGGGCTGTCCTGGGATCTGCAATCTTGGTTCCAGCTGCAGCTCCCAGCAGAGTGCTGTGGCTGCAGATGGCTGACTGAGCTGTGATCCCCTGAGAGACCACACCTTGCAGATCACTGGCTGGAGGTTGCAAGTAATTTATGTCCCTTCTTCCCCAATTTCACCTCTGCAGAGTGCCCGTGTAGGAGTGGGGGCTTTGCTCAAGGCTGCGAGGCCCTACCTGATCCAGGAGGTCTGCCTGGACCCAGAGGAGGGCCTGTCCATGGGGTGGTCCTAGCCTCTAGTCCAGCTCTCAGGGGTGGGGGTCGCCTCATCCAGGGACATCATTAACCTCTGGGGCACCACGTTTAGTGTCTTCCTTTCAGTCCTGACCCTTGCACTGTGGCCCTGCTTCCAACCCCTTGCTTTGCACCTTCTCCCCAACACCTTGGTTTCTAGGGCAGCCTAACTCCATGACCTTCGCCCTGCCGGGTGCTCCAGTGTGCAAAACCTTGATGCTGGGTGCCTCCAGGCTGAGTCAGGAGGTAGGGTCTTGGGTCCTGCTCTCCTTCCCACCACGTCTGCTACTCTTTCCAGCTGCACAGCACAACTGTGCTGTCCCGGGCCCCGGGACCCTCTGAGGGTCCCCAGAAGAGAGCACCCCGGGCTGTGCCAGCCCCGCCCCATCCACGGCTGCCTTGCTGAAGTCCCCTGATCCAAACTTTGTACCCTTCAGCCTAGACTTTTTCTCTGAGCTCCAGGCCGCCCCAGCCCCACCCCCACCCCAGGTGAGACCTGACTGAGCATCTCCCCAGCTGTGCCACAGACCCCACCAATGTATCAAGCTCCACCCAAAAATCTACCCCTCGCCATCCCAGGAACCACTGTCTTTGAAGCCTGTCCAGTGGGAAAGCAAACGTCACTTCTACTGCACCTGCCTCTCCCTCCTGCCACCCTGGCTACCACCTCCTCCTGAATGATTCTGGAAACTTTCTGTACCTTTGTGGAGGCCCTCAGCATGGGTCAGCTGGGCAACTGCAACAGTCTTGCTCTCCCTCCTCCCCCAGGCTGCCCCACCCCCTCCAGGCCCTGTTGCCTACCACGGATCTAGACCCAACTGGCCCTGTTGCCAGCCCTCTGCATGTGCTCCAACTCCCCCCTGCTCAGCCAAGAAAACGCCACTCTTCCTCCAAGCTTTGGCACACACGTGGTTTTTCTGGGGAGCCTTCCCTAGGTGGTTGGTACCCCGTTCTCTCGGTTGCTGGGCCACTGCCTCTCGAACACACCCTCAGAACTGGGATCCTCTAGGTTTTAATCACGTTTGAGGGGCAGTTTCCCTATTGACCATGAGCAACGTGAGGACAGGGATGCATATTCTATCACAACATCCCCGCCCCTCAGCACATAGTAGGTGCTCAGCTAATGTTCACTAGTGAATAAAGGAGTACTGGGAGCTATTCAAAGGGGAGCTCTTGCGGGGTGGGTGCTGAAAGGAATGTCATGTCCCCTCCCACCCCCACATATGGGCTTCCTGGATGCTAGCAATTACCTAGAGGTTTCAGACAGTAAGGGCCTCCTCATCCAGAAGCAGTGGGGAGGGGGAGGGAGAGTGGGGCTTAGAGACAGATTTGAAAGGAAACAGAGAGGTCAAAAGGCCAGCTGGAGTGTGCAGCATGAGTGGAGTGAGCATTGGTCCCGCCCACCCTGGCCTTGGAAGGTGGTCCAATGGCCCCACCCTCTTCCCTCCATCCACCCCCACAACCTTCCTGTGATGTGAGGAGTGGAAGACCACCCCCAGGTCTAGACCCAACTGGCCATCCATTCTGAGGAGGACCCCCCCGAGTTGCTGGTGCCCCACACTCACCCAGACAGGCCCCCGAAGATCTCGGTGACATAGGCATAGTCTCCACCAGACTTAGGGACGGTGACTCCCAGCTCTGCGTAGCAGAGGGAGCCCAGGGCAGTGATGCCCCCGCCTAGGACCCAGACGCAGAGAGCCAGACCCACAGAGCCAGAGTGCTCCAGGACCCCCTTGGGGGAGATGAAGATCCCAGAGCCTATGATGTTCCCTGCGGGGGAGATGGAGAGGCTGCAGTGAGGAGGAGAACCCCCACCCCCAGCCTGCTCCTTGGAGCGGAGGGAGGGGAGCCTGGAGGCATGCGGACGACGCCGGGCCCCTCGAACCCGGCAACCACCCTGGACTCATCTTCCCTCCGTATTCCCTGGCGTCGGAACGGCACCTTGTCCATTCAGCCAGGCTCTCCTGCCAGAGACAGGTCTCATTCTGAGTTCCTCTGCCCGCCCCCTTCCCGCTCCCTGCCCCTTACTCCCACGAGGCGGGGCAAGCACAAGAGAGGCGGCTCAGCCACGTGAGTGATGGCAGAGTGGCGGCCACCCCTGTGCATTCCCGCGGGGCCCAGACTCAGCCCCGTGCCCCCACCCGAGGCCTCTAGTCTCCTGGGCCTCCAGCACCTGTCCTACTTCCAACCTGCTGGCCAGAGCTGGCCTCCTAAAGCAAGACTTTGACCATGACACTTTCTCGCCACTTTCCTATTGGTTGAAGTCCAGACACATAGAGTGGCTCAGGAAGTGTACCTCCTCTAGGAAGCCCTCCTTGACCAGGCTGGTTTGGGATCCTCCCCCCACTTCACACCACTGTGGTCCCCCAGACCCTGCCCGTACTTTGTTTGTCTTCCATCTCCCCTTTCACCATAAAGGAGCCCCTCTGCCTGCTTCCTCCATGACCTAGGACCCAGGCTGCAGACACAGAATCTGAAGAGACCTTGCTTGACTCTGGCTCTGTGACATGTTTCAGGGCTTGGGCAAGGGCCAGTGGGGCGCGTTTTGAGGGCTGGGGCTTGGCCAGCAGCCATCATGCAAGGAGCGGAGAGGGCAATGGAGCAGGAGTCTTGGCCCGGCCTGAGGTCCAGACACAGACTGCCTCTCGCCTTGGGACGGCCCGCTGGTTGCAAACAGAGGTCACTGTTCCAATCCCAGGAACCTAGTGGGAAATCCCAGCTGGGGTTCGGGAGACCTGGGGACCTCTCCTGGCTCAGGTCCCTTTTTGAGCCCAATCTGTACAATGGGATTATTATGAGGATTCAGTGGGACACTGTCAAGGAAGCCTTCAGCTATACCCAGATGTGCTCACCAGCTTCGCTGGCATGGTTCAATGTATTGTCTGCAACCTCACCTGCTTCCTCAGAATATCGCAGGCACTCAGTACATACCTGTTGAGTATACTAATGGATGAATCAATGACCTAATGCCCAACGTGGCACCAATGCCCTAATGTGAAGGACTCACTTCCTCGTCTGTGACGTGGGGGCAGCCCTCTGCTCACCCGCAGGGGGACTGTGAAGGGGAGCAGAACGGGCGGCTGGCTTCCAGGGCTTGGGTGCGAGCGGGATCTGCTTCGGCCACGGGAGGTCTGCCTTGCTGCTGGGGCTGGCTCTGAGTCCTGGGCACTGGGGGCAGGGGCTGCGCTCCCTCGACTCACAGTGTCTGGGAGCGGAACAGCGGGAATGCTCAGGGCCCAGGCCAGGGTCTGCAGAGCAGGTTCCCAGGACAAGCAGGATTCCGAGTGTCCACTTAGCCGAAGGCTCCCTGCTGGTCCGGGGTAAAGAGGGGGCAGTGCTCTGGGTACCTGGGTGCATCATCTGTGCACATGAATCAGCTCATGTCGCTGGCCATCTGCACTGGGGCCTGCCCCAGAGGACCTTATCCCCAAATCCACAGTCCACGTGAGTAACAAGGCACCGTTGCTGGGACCTGGCGCTCAGTCCCTCAGCACGACTGCCCCCACCTGCCAGTGCCCGGCGGGGGAGTGCACACCGTCAGGGCAGAGCCTGCCTGCTCCACCTGCCAGGCCCACAGGCAGGTCTGGGAGAGGACGCCGCCGCGGTGGCCGATCTGCATGCGTCCCTTGTCCGTGGTGCTGCCCTCCACCCCCGCCCCCGGCCGACACAGATTTCCAGTCTGGACAGCCACGAGGCCCCACTTGGTTTTCCGGTCACATCCAAGCAGCCCTCAATACACCCAGATAAGGATGAAAGAATTCCTGTCCTCTAACCCCCAGAGGCAAGTTGTGCCCTCAGCCTGCTTCCAGCAGGGAGAGGGGGAACCTCCCTCGCCTGCGATGGGGGCCCAGGGCCTGGGTGGGCTGCTGGGTTTCTAAAAGGCCTTTGAGTTCACTCTACCCGGCAGCAGAGTCTATGTTCTCAGGACCTGGCGGAGTGGGATTTGCCAAAAGCCAGTGAGGTTGGAAGCCAGCGGGGGCTGGGTGGCCTTGGAAGGAGCTGGGTGCTTTCGGGCTGGGGGGTGTCCAGGGCCCCAAGCCACCCACCCTGAGTGGACCCCACCGCTCTGCACAATTCAGCCTGCCAGGGCCTCATGGGCATAGCCATCAGGGAAGCTACACCTGGCACCTTGTCCCCGAGGCAGGGGTCTGAAAGGGGCATAGTGCTAGCCTGTGCCCAGTAGCTGCCAACTTGAATGCTAGGATCCGGGAAATGGGTTGGGGGTGAGGCATCACTATGGTTTTGGACACATGGTCTCAGGCTACAGGGAAGAACCAGTGCCCATGGGCTAAAGGAACGTGTGTGCCAGCCAGTGTGTCATGTCCTTGGGGGTCTCTGCTTCTGGGCCTGCACAACTGCAGTTTGTGCTAGGAGGTGGCCGGAACGCCCGTGAGGTCCACGGGCTGTCCTTGACCCCACTCACACAGGCTGGGTGGGGCTCTGCAAGGAGCAGCGGGGGCCGTGGGCCTGGGTGAGCGGCACAGGGCGAGGAGCGAGGGGTGGGGAGGACGACGAGGACAGGGCTGGGGGCCTCCGGCACCGGGATGATCCAGGAGGTGTGGGGAAGGGACCGTGGAGGTGCTGGGGTGGCGCCCGCCCAGCACTGGGTGTTGGGGTGCATGGGCCTCCCTCTCAGTTCTCACGCTCGGGCCCAGCAGGGTCAGCTCTGCCTGACTGAGGGAGCAGTAGAGGACAGGCCCAGCCCTAGGGGACCCTGCTGTGGAGGAAGAGGAGCAGCGGGAACTGGGAACACAGGACGGGCTAGGACACGCTGCTGAGTGCCTGTGCAGGTGTCTAACTGATGGCCGGCTGCAGAGACTCGGGTTGTGAGGCCTCCATGTTCCCGTCCCCTGTGGGATGGCTGCTTGGTGGTGCCTGCAGGTCCTCGGTGGGGACGGAGCTCCTGGGCAGGTGGGTGAGGATGTGAGGAGGGCCCTCCGACTTCCCTCTTGCCCCTCTTCCCTCAGCCGGAGCTGGGTGGCTTTTATCACATTAAGATGTTTGGCCTGATGGGGCTTACCCAGCTCTGCGGAGGAATGAAGAAAGGGCCATTGTTCCCGCGGCTGCTGCGGCGTGCGCTGACCTATTTCTGGGAGGCAGCGGCGGACCACGGAGGTCACAGGGGTGGACCGTGGAGGTCGTGGTGGTGGAAGGAGCCAGCCGCCCGTGGTGCGTGTGGGGAGTGCACAGTCTGGCTTGAGCAAGGGGCGGGGAGGTCCCGTCAGGCTGCCAGCACCACCTTTCTGCCTTAGAAACACTTTCAGGAGTTGGCTGTGTGGCCTCAGGCCAGTACTGCCCTCGGGGCCTCAGTTTCCCCTTTGGCCAGGGAGGATCACTGGGCTAGGGGGCAGCAGACGGCTGGTCCAACCCTGACTTTGGCAGAGGCACTGCGGGCAGGACGGCATGTGTCTAGTCCACCTGCATGGGACCCAAGGAAACACAGTCTGCTCGGGGCCCCTGCTCCGCACCGTGTCGGTCGCTCTGTAGCTCACTGGTCTCCCAGAAGCAACACTGCCCCCAGGAAGTCCTCCTGACTCCTCACCTTGGCCTCTATCACCTGGACCCTGCCCACTGCCAAGGTATCTAAAAGACGGCCAGGAAGTGATTTCTTTTTTGCCACCCTGAGGGTAGGGTCCGTGCTGGCCTGCAGAGGTGAAGGACCTGAGCTCCCCCAAAAGGACATGGGGCTAGGTCACCTTACGCCCGCCTTGCCTATCCCCGACCAAGAGCACGGTCCCATTATCCCCCTGGGCCTGATCAGGGGCTGGCCATGGGACAGGCCTTCTTCCTTTGCTCTGGGCAGTGAGTCCCAGCACTTTCCATTAGGACAAGACCCATGAGGCCTCTGGCCTCCAAATTCTTCTCCGAAGAGCTCCAAACTCCCATCAGTGGGTCCTAAGGCCCCCAGGCCATGGGCAATGGCACTTACTAGTAGAGAACTCCCAGATCTGGGTCCAAACCCCAGACCCTTGAGGTGGGGGTTTGTGGACATAGCACGTCACCTGTCTGAGCCTTCTCACCTGTAGGACGGGGAGATGAGGCGGTGATGCAGCGAGCTCCCACCCAGCGGAGGGCCCAGGACGTGCCTGAGGGTCCCACTGTTATCATCCCCCTTAGAGATGACTCAGGCCACTGGATCTGGCCTTTGGAGACCTGACTCCCATGGGATCTCAACACCCTGGGGTCAGAAGCCAAGGCCCTGATTTGGGGGCCCTGCCGGTACCCTGTGCCTCTAAACACATGAATGTCCTTACAGTGAACATGTGTCAGGCATCCCTTTGGGGGACAAAAATTCCTGCTGAGGTCTTGGCAGAACTCTAGGGAGTGAGCGGGGTGTTTCCGGGACATGCCTGAATTGCCCACTGACCGGCATGCGTGTCTGGCCTAACCCACTTCCCTCCTGAGAGGGATGAGCAGCAGTGTGGAGCTCTCTCTGCCTGGCCTGCCCAGCCCAGCCCGGCCTTGTCTAGCGAGCCTCACCCCTGCCCTGTCTCCAGGCTGAGTGTCGCCGGGTGCCTGCTGAGCTGCATGTTGCAGCGCCCAGCTGTGAAGCCACAGGCTGCACCCCTACTTGCCTCATCACCTGCATCTGGCAGGTGGGCCCCTTCCTCCCACGGGGCAGTCTCCTGGCCCTCCTCCCACCTCGTTGGCTGCTCCTTCTCAAACTCCTCTGCTGGTTGCTTCTCATTTCTCCTAACGCCTGGACAGCAGGTGCCCGCAGCTTGGTCTTTGGGTCTTTTCCCTTTTCTTTCAACACTCGCTCCCTTGGCGACCTCATCCAGAAACCCCAGCTTCTGCTGGCAAGTCCCAAATCTATATCCCTCGCAGGGACCTCCCTGCTAAACTAAACCTGCAAACCCAACTGATGACTCAGTGGGCATCTCACGTGTCACGTGTTCAAAACGGGATTCCTGACTTGCAGCCCTCTTTCCCCCCAAACCTGCTCCTCTCACGGTCTTCCCGGATCGATAAACGGCGAACGGTGCTCCCCGAGGTGCAGACCCCACCCTGGGGTCGCCCTTGCCTCCTCTCTCTTTCCCGAGTGTCGTCACACATCCTTCACCATCACAAACCCTTCGGCTCCATCTACCAAACTCACCCAGGACTGAACCTCCTCCAGTGCCCCCACTGCTGCCGCTGTGCTCTGAGCCACTGCCCCCTCTTTGTGTTTTATAACCCCATCCAAGGGCGTGGTTATTGAGAGAGGTGAGAGAGAGAAATAGTGCATCATCCTCTTGCACATGTCGCGGCCGGGGATCAAACCCTCACCCTGGGTATGTGCCCTGGCTGGGAATCAAACCCGCCGTCTTTTGGTGTATAGGGTGACGCTCAGCCAACTGAGCCACCTGTCCAGGTGACTCAAGTATCCTCCAGACCAGACTTCCCATTTCTGCCCCCGCTGCCCCCAACTTCTGCTCTAATGGTGAGCCCCATCCCATTGCACTGCACCCCTCCCCGCCCCTCACACCCTGTCCCTTTTGCTCAAAGCCCACCCAGGGCTCCCGTCGCACAAAGAGAAGAAGGCGAAGTCTTTACTGGGGGCTGCCAGGCCCACACAAATTGGACCCCAACCGACTCCCGACTCATCTGTTATCTATCGTCCCTCCTCCTGCCTTAATCTTCTCACCTTAGCATGGGTATCACTACGCTGTTGGCAACACATTCAGCTCGCTTATCTTGCTTGCCCTCTGACTTCCGTGCTGGGATGTCAGCGTCAGCAGGACACAGGTATTGTCTGTGGTGCTCCCTGCTGCGCGCTCCCTGCTGTGTCTCCGGCACCTGGAACAGTGCCTGACACTGTTCAGTACCTGATGTGAAGCGGATGAGTGAGTGTGCCCAGTGCCGCAGGCCCTGCCCTGGCAGCCGGAACCGTCTCGGCCCCCGTGGCTTCCCAGAGCACACAGGGTATCTGACCCTGGGCTGGCTGCAGCCTCGGGACCTCAGTTTCTTCCTCTATAAACTGGGGCTGAGAGGAGGCCCAGAGAAACTTCCGAATGACGTCATGCCTCCTCTGGCAGCCCAGCCGCCTCCAGTCCTGAGGAGCGCAGACAGGGGCCTGGACAAGGCTGGATGGGCAGGGACCGGTTCCTAAGGAGACAGGACTCATGAGGCAGATCTCTGAGTCTCTGAACACACTTGAGCATGATGAACGAACACCTGGACGGGCTGGGAACTTGAGTCAAAGGGAGAAATCAAAGACAGGACAGCTTGATCAGCAGACCCAGGGGTGACCCTCACTCTGTGGACCCGGGCACTTCCCTTCCCTGGGTGGAAGGGTGTGGACTGAGAAGAAGCTGGCTGGGGTCCTGGGTCAGGACAAGACACCCTGCACGTACAGCCCTGGCTGGGGTACGGGAGGTGGGGGGCTTTCTGTCCATCTGTTCGTCCTTTCGTAATAGAGTGTAGAGCTCAGTACATCCTGGCTAGATGTGCTCTGGCTCAGTCTTAACCGTCCCCCATTAGGGACTGTGACTCTGGCCCCGATTTCACCCAGCAGCAGGGCAGTGTGAAGACACACAAAGGGTTGAAAAATAAACCCAAATCTGTTCCCAGATCCTGAGTCCGTCGCCTGCAACGGTGTCATTCAATCCTCAGCCGCAGTTTCTACGTCTGCGCAATGGGTATACAAACTCCTGTTTTGCAAGGCAGGCATGAGCATCGAACGAGATAAAGGGAGGACACGCTTCTGCTACGTGAGAAGAGGCAGTTTTCTGAACAGGTGCTGGAGGCGCCAGGTCCCGCACGGCCCTGCCCTGCCTGGCTTTTCCTCCCGCTGGCCTGTCCCCTGCTGCAGTGCTCTCCCAGAGGCCAGCAGGTGCCGTCTGACATCACAGGTGGGGTCACAGTCCAGCCCAAAGCCCTACCATTCCGTTCCATTCTGGAAAGCCCCATTCCTGAGATGGGATGGGGCAGGAAGGTTAAGGGAAGAGGATTTTAGGATCTTCTGGGAAGATGTATCTGGAAGTCTTACAGACAAGTTCAGTGGCTGGTAACACGTGAGGAAGATTATGGAGTATAATATAAAGTTCTCAAGACTTTTGAAGCTAAAATTTGATACTTCACAGACATTTTTTATTTTGACCAGCTTCTCTGGGGCAGGAAAGTGGGGTGATGTATGGGAGGGGGCCCCCCAGGACAGTGACTGGGGAGTAAGTTAGTGGGTGCCTTCAGGGCATCTGATGGGGAGGGCAGTGCTGACCCTGCCCCAGTCCACACCTGCCTCCTCCCTCTTCTGTCGCCTCTGGTCCAGGCTGATGCTCCCCTGGTCTGTCTCTCGCCCAGCCCAGCCTCTTGCCTGATGTCACCCTTCAAAGCTCTCCAGGGAGGGCTGCTGAACTACCACAGAGTGTCCTGGACGGGTCAGGCCACCTGTGTCCTGTTCCTGAGTCTGCCACCAGTGGGCGAGTCACCCCCAAGGAGGCAGAGTAGGAATACGGCTCAAGGACATTGGACCCGCGGAGGTGGCCCAGAAAAGGCGCTGTAGCTGGCTCCAGACATGCCTCGACCGACCCCAGCCTCCTGGCCCATCCATGATGTGTGGGCTTCCCCTTCCTGGGGACACAGCGTCTGGAGAGAGTGCGGACAGAGACAAAGCTCTAACCAGTACCTCGGCCAAGTCCCTGGAACCAGCCCTTCCTGCCAGCAAACAGTCAAGCAGGGGCACCTTCGTTAGGCCAAGAAGGTCTCAGAGCTGGGCCAGTGCTCCTGGAAGACGCCATTTCAGGGCCAGTGGGGAGGCAGAGAGCTACCTGCTGGGGGGGGGGGCTGTGTTCTGGGGCAATTCTTGGTGTGCATTTGGGGTCTGGCCAAGAACCAGGACCCCGGGGTCTGGGGATGGGTGGGCAATGGATGCACCAGCAGTTCCCACTGGTTGTGGGGGAGGTGGATGGAGACTAGTCAAGACTCCTCTCATTCATCCCTCCAGCCATGACTCTGGAGACACAGGAGGGTCTCCGAGGCACCAGGTGTGGATGCCTGCGTTCACTAGTGCCTGAGAAGTGAGTGTTCATGACTTAGGACAGGAAGAGGAAAATCCCCCCAACATGTCTCACAGTCCCCTGAGCCCTCTGTCTACCTAGCAGTCCGCATCTGGGGCAGGACACCTGGACGCATTCTGGGGCGAGGGAGCTGGGGCCAGAGTCCCAGAGGGTGCCTGCCTGTTGGGGTCCCAGCTCCGGGAGGGAGCCGTTGGCTTTTCTGCAGGCCTGGTCCGCCTCACCCCACCGCCGCCTCCTACTGTGTCTGGCTGCCCCGCCCCCAGGGTTCTGCCACCAAACTGCAATACATGTACTCTGAACCTATTTCCCCACTAGCTGGCTCTCTGTTTGTCTGGTCTGCCCGCAGTTTCTCCTGTTTTTGAAGACTAAAGCACTCACTCCGCGTGGCACTGGGACCCTGCACACAGTAGGGACTCAGCTCCAGACACGGCCCAGTACTGGGGGCCTTAGCCGGTCAGCTCACCCAGACCCCACACTTGCGAAGTTCCCGCACTCCAGGCAGGACCACGTCCCCTCCATTTCATAGATGAGAAAAGTGCGAGTGACTGCCTCGCCAGAGCCCCGCAGCGCAGGAAAGGCGGGAGGATTCCAGCGGCGAAGGGACCCACACCTCTCCCAGGTATGAAAACTCGGGGCCCCTCGGGAGGTGGGGACAGGCCCTGCGGCGCGACACCGCAGGTGCGCTGGCAACCCCCTCGCCTGCTGCCCTGAGGTCGCAGGCCGGAAGGAGGGCCAGGAGAGGCGAGCTCGTTCTCCCAAGTGGCTGTGGAGGCGCCCTCCCGCCGGGGCCCTGCTCACCGATGATGATGGTGCAGGCGCTAAACAGCCCGATCTCCTTCTTGAGCGTCACCCGCTCCGAGGCGCCGGGGCCGGGCCCTGGGCCGGGGGAAGGCGAGGGCGCAGGGCCGGCATTCCCGCGCCCGCTGGGCTGCTGCGTGGGGCCGGCCATTTCGCTGTCCAGCTGTGTCCCCGCTCCCTGCGCTGTCCCGTCTATCCGACTGGCCGCCTGTCCGTCGGTCCGTCCGTCTGTGGGTAAGCTCACTAACCTCGCAGCCCTTGCAGCCCGGACGGCGCACACAGGCGGGCGCATGCGCTGGCGCGGGGCCCGGGCGGTGGGCCCGGGGCTGCGGGGGCCGGGGAGGGGCGGAAGGAGGGCCGGCCGGCACCCCTCCCCCACCTTCCTTAAAGGAAACTGCCCCCGCGGCCCCTCTCCTCAGTCCTGGCCTTGGGGTAGAGCTGGGGAGAACTTTGTAGTTGAGAGAAGGAAGGGACCCTCCTGCTGCCTGAGTTACATCCACTCGTGGGGTGCGGTGGGGTGGGGTGCGATGGGGGGCCGGACTCAAAGGCAAGACTGACCCTGCCCTCAAGGGGGCTGAGGACACGCGCGCAATGCGAGCTGCCTGGGTGTCGGGCCCCCCGGTACCAGCGCCTCGGGGAGGGGTGCAGACCGGGTGGAGGCTGAGCCCAGAGAAGCGGGAGCGGGTGGCGCGGCCCGGACCCCAGCTCTTTCCCGCCCCTCTTTGGACTCCAGACGGTGATGCGGGGGCGAGGCGTCCTCCGCGCCCACGGGCCAAGTCTGGGGCCCCCGGCCCTGGTCCGGGGAGGCCCCATTGCCTTGCGCGCGTCCTGGAAGGGGTTTGCGCTGCCGCCCCGCCTCCGCCCGGGTCTGGGCTGCGTCGGGCAGGTTCCATTTGCAGACGTCTCTGCAGAGCTGGGAGTCGGGGGTCAGTGGGCTTGGACTCTGGTCTTAGGCCCCGCGCGGTCCAGCCCGGCGTCCGAAGACGAGGCCACCTCAACTGCTGGGAGACTCGGAGAAAGGGGCTGTGGCCTCTGAGGCCACAGGAGGAGGTCGGGCTTGCGGGCCCGGACGCCGGTTTCCTCCTCCTGGAAGCCGTCCGGGTTGTGCCGCCCCGGCCGCGGGGCAGACACTCGGGAGGCCGCGTCGGGGGCCACCGGAGCTGCGGGCGGGGCGGGCCTGGCACGGTGCGGCCGGCGGCGGAACAGCCTTTGTCCTTTCCTGGCAGCCGCCGCGACGCGCTGTCCCCTGCATGTGGATGAGGCCGCGCCAGGCTCCCCGTCCTTCCCCCGCCCGCGGCCTCGCGGCCCGCGAGGGGCCCCGCCCGCGGTCCGACGGCCGTGGGGGGACCGGGGCGGGGCGGGGTCGAGGTCCGGTCCTGGGCTGTGCGCTGGGTCTCGAGGTTCGAGCGCGGTGGTGCAGGAGTTTGTCGCCTGAGAAGGGTCTTTAAAAGTTGAGGGGAGTCTTGGGGGTAGAGAGCGGGATCGACACTGGGCGGACGTGCTGGAGGGGACAGGCGGGCAGGCCACCCCGAGAAGCTTCACCCGTCGCGGACCCGTCGGAGTCGACATTCTTGGCGCCCTCCGCTTCCCGCCCCAGAGACGCGTTCTGGGCCGACTCTCTTAAAGGAGCCCGGCGCGCGCGGAGGTGGGGAGGGGGTGCGGTCGGGGGGTTGGGGCAGCAGAGTCTGGAGACTCTTGATCTTCGAGGGTAGCCTCCACCTGCTGGTTGCACTCTCCGCGTCCGGGTACCCTCTCAACGCCAGGGTCCAGCCAGGGCTAGTACACTCGGGGGCTGGCGTGAGTCTCACTAGCCGAGGGGCCTTGGTTTTGGAGGGCGAGCCGCTCATCGGCACCCGAAATACGGACTGTGGGAGAAGGGCAGACCCCGGCGCACCGCACAGGACGGACTGCGTCCAGGCCCATAGTTCAGGAAGTCATGTTAGCGCAATGGAACTGGAACCCGCAAACCCCAAAGGATTGTTTTACCATAAGGTCAATCAGTCCAATTCCCCACAGTAACAGAGAAAAACAAGGGAAACCATAGGATAGATTCAGAAAACGGCCATCCACCATTTAAACAAACAAAAACTCTGAACAAATCAGAAACAGAACTTTCTCAGTCTGGTAAAGTATCTACCCAAACCCGAACCCCAACCCCGCCAAGAAACAAAAGAACAACAAAATCCTGCAGCCCAAATCATGCTTAACAGTGAAATGTTGGGACGTTTCCCCACTGAGACTGGAAATGAGAAAGAACATTAGCATTCTTCAGTTCTATACACCGCTGCGCTGGAGGCTCTGGCTGGTGCAGTAAGGCAAGAAAAAGAAGTAAAAAGACACACGTTTTAGTGGCCAAAATCCAGAACACCGACAATGCCAAATGCTGGTGAGGGTGCATAGCAATAGGAACTCTCATTCACTGTTGGGGGTTACAAAACGGTGCGGCTGCCTGGGAAGACAGCTTGGCAATTTCCTACAAAACTAAGAAATAACTCCTACCATAGATCCAGGATTCATGCTCTTTGGTCTTCACCCAAAGGAGATGAAAACTTACATCCACACAGAAAGCTGCACGTGGATGTTTACAGCGGCTTTATGCACAATTGCCAAGCCTTGTGAGTAACCGGGCTGCCCTTCAGTAGGTGAATGGACGGGTAAACTGTGGTGCGTCCGTTCAACGGAATAGCGTGTAGTCCTGGAGACAAATGAGCCGTCAGACCATGAAATGACACGGAGAAAAGTTAAATGCGTGCTACTCAGTGAAAAGAAGCTGGTCCGAAAGGCAGTACCAGGATATGAAGATAGGAAGGGAAGCTGTATAACTCATTTACATGTGACATGACCGGGTAGAAAATCCAAAAACACGTGTAAGTAAACTTAAGGTTAATTGATGAATTTAGCACTGGATACAAGTTCATTATAAAAAAAAACTGATTGTATTTGTATATGCCAGCAGCAATTAGAAAATGAAATTTATATTATAGCATAAAAGTAATACCTAGATAAATCTAGTAAGTTATGTGTATAATTTCTACACAGAAAACCACAAAACATTACAGAGAAATTGTATAAGATGGAAATTAGCTGAGGGGCTGTCTTTATTCATGGACTGGATTTAAGATGTTGCTTGGCTCCAAGTTGAACTAGAGCACTGATCTACAGGTCCAATGCACTCAAAGTCCCAAAGGATTTTGTCGCGGTTTGCTTGGATTTTTTTTTTTTTTGAGACTTGACAAGCTGGGTCTAAAATAGAGATGAAGAAGAAAAAAGCTAGAGACTCACACCACAGTTAGGGAGACAGTGTTCAGTGCAAGGGCAGACAAGCGGCCTGCACAACAAATCGACCTCGAGGACACAGCAGAGCCACACACCTGCGGCTCTGTCCGTCAGTCAGTCCACACTGTACTGTCCGTCAGTCAGTGTTGGCGTCGCAGGGCAGTGGGGAAATGATGGACTTTTCAATATATGGTGCTGGGTCAACTGAGTGTTCATGGAGAAAAGGACTCCCCTCGGCCTTGCCCCACACCCTAACACCAATTCCACGGGCACGAGTGTGAAAGGTGAATGTGTGTCAAAAGGTAAAACCACGAAGACGCCAGAAGAAGACTTACGGGGGGAATAGATTTACTTTCTTAAGTAGGACCCAAAAAGTACTATCAGTAAAAAAGTGATAAATTGGACTCCATTGCAATTAGAAACTTCTGTTAATTAAAAACCATGATTAAGAGAGGAGAAGCAAGCCATGTATGAGAACTAAAGTTATTTCAATACATATATCTGACAAAGGACTTGTATCTTAAAAATATGAAAATTCTTACAAATCTGTACGTAGGAAGAAGACTACATAAGTGCTTCCCAAAAGAGGGTGTACAAATGACTGGTAAACTTCTGAGCAGGTGTTCAACCTGATTAGTCATCAGAAAAATGAAAATTAGTCCTGGCTGGTGTGGCTCCGTGGACTGAGTGGCAGCCTGTGAACTAAACGGTCACTGGTTCGATTCCCAGTCAGGGCACATGCCTGGGTTGCGGGCCAGGTCCCCAGTTGGAGGTGTGCAAGAGGCAACTGATAATGTATTTCTTGCACATCTGATGTTTCTCTCACTCGCTTTCTCCCTCCTATCCCTTCTCTTTAAACATAAATAAATAAATATTTAAAAAGAGATAAATGCAAATTAAAACCAGAGTGAGACACCACAGCACATTCACCAGAACACTTATAATTAAACCCCAGTGATTTGTGCAGGTTTTTTGTATGCTGGTTACACTCACTTCAGAAAGACTGGGACATTGATCGTGTCCTGGGCGTGGTCTCTGGGTGAGATGGAATCTGTGCTGGAGGTCTCTGGGCCTGCTCTCTTCCCACCAGCTCGCCACGGGCACCGAAAGGGCTCAGCGCTCCCACACCGGTTCTGGCCTCAGTCCCTCTTCTTCTTCTTCCCCACAATTCCAGCCGAGGTATGCACTTGGGCAGCCCCGGTTTCTCCTTGACTTTCGCCATCCCACCTCCAAAGCACTCCCTGTCCGAGTCTCAAGCATCTCTTCGCTGACGGCTCTTGGGGACCCCTCTCTGCTTCTGTTTAATGGAATTCTTGGCCCTGGACATTGTCACTGCCCTTTCTGGCCTCCTTTTCTCTCCTCCCTCTGCACCCTGGCTAGACAGCCCCTACTCATGTCCAGTCCTAACACCCCTTGGGCAGGAGTTCAAACCAAGGCTCCACATACCACGGGACTAAATGTTTAGGTTTTCCCAGTGACGTTCTGTCATGAGCCAGCCTAGTCCTGCACCTCACTGCCTGGAGCACGCTCTCCCCAGGCCAGAAGTAATGGCCTCTATCAACTGAGGCAGGCATTGACCGAGAATGAATGATCCAGAAGGCTTCGGCTAGAATAGATTCTCCAGGGGGTAATCAGAGTGTTGCTTGTATCTCTCTCTCTCTCTCTCTTTCTATATATATATATATATATATATATATATATATATATATATATATATATAGTTTATCTCCAGCTCCAGGCATAACTGGAGAATTCAAAAATTTAAATACTCAGGCTACTTGAATCAAGAGTACAATCATTTCCCCTGCCTCAGCCTACCTGATTGTAGCGTTTAACAGCTTGACCCCAGTGACTCCATTTTTTTTCTCTCTTTTCCTCACCAGGTAGGGTGGAAGCTGGGACAGTGTCAGAGGCTCCCGGGACTGAGCACGCACTTAGGATCAGGGCCGGCCTGGTAACACTTCCCCAGCTAATTTTTCCAAGCTGGGATTTCCAGGCCATTCTGATCTCCTCTCCAGATGTCACTGTGGAACAGAGCACAGGAAGCACATTTGTGGGGAACCGTGCTGCCTGGACATCTCTTGGTGATCTGGGGCAGCCAACAGTAAAGAAAAGCATCATTTTCCCCCTTGGTTTCCTTGGGTGGAAGCCGTGGAGCCTTCTACACACACACACACACACACACACACACACACACACACCCCTCTCAGCCCAGCATCTTTCAGTTTGGAGGGGTGGTTCCTGTATTACGCTTGTTTTCTCCCACAATTAACCTGTGTTCAGTTAGTTATCAAGCTTTGGAATATTCTGAGACTGAAAAAAAACACCAAAACTCTGGGTCAGACATTCTGACCCTCCCTGGTGTGGGGGTGATGTCAGTGACCACCTGGCCCAGGCCTGAGGGTGCGGTCCCCACATTCGGTGCTTCCAGAATGATCTCGTGAAGGGTGCTGCCACACAGAGCCTTTGTCCACTCCGTCCTGGGACAGGGACTCGCTTCCCAGTCTGCACGTCCAGAGCTTCGACTGGCCCACCTTCAGCCTTTACCCCTTCACACCACACGCTCCTCCCAATACTGCCTACCCTCCACCCTTCCCTCCAGGCTGACAGCAGCTTCTCTGCCACCCCAGGATTGCTCCAAATTGCAAATCTAATCCCCCTGCCCCCTCTGAAACTGTCCATGCTCTGTTTAGCCATGGAGATGATGCTTCAGGAGGAAGATCATTTAACTTGTGGTCCAACTGGGATACTTTTGAAAATGAAAGGGGCTGCTATTAGCAATGACACCAGGGCAATTGCTATAACAGGACATCTGAGGAAAGTGGGATATGTGGTCACTATCCTTAAAGCAGATGTTAGTCCCACCTTGCCTTGACCTTGCTATCTGCCTGGCCTGCACCCCTCCCCCCACATACCTTTGTGCTCGCTTGTTCCTTGCGAATAAGCCTGGTCGTCACCTCCCCCAGGAAGGCAGCCATCCTGGTTCCCACCCTGGATGGTGTGCCCCTACTGTGCTCATGCTGCCACCTCTCCTTGCTGCTTCTCTTCCTGCTGGGCTGGTCCTCCTCAAAGGCGGAGACCGGGCCTTCCTCTTAGCACATCGTAGGTCCTCAATGACGATTCTCAGATGTGTGACCCGGGAATCACAAGATGCAGGTTGTAGCCCTGGCCAGTGCGACTAGTTGGTTGTAACGTCATCCAGTACACCCGTGGGCTGCGGGTTCTATTCCCGGTCAGAGCACATGCCTGGGTTTTGGTTCAATCCCTGGTCGGGGCAGGTATAGGAGGCAACTGATCGATGTTTCTCTCTCACATCGATGTTTGTCTCTCTCAAATCAATAAAAAACGTATCTTTGGGTGAAGATTTTGGGAAAAAATGAGAGAGTTACAAGTTCTAGCCCCAGCTCTGTGGCTGACTTGTGAACTGGGTGAGTCACTTAAGTTCTGTGAGGGGTGGGGAGTGGGGGTGGCGTTCGGCCCCTCAGGGCCAAGAGCTATGGTGGGGGGCTGCTTGCCCAGGCCGTAGGGCTTCAGGGCCCACTAGTCAGAAGGGGGAAGTGGGCGGAGAGGACTCATATCTTCCCGTGTCACCCTCACCCTCCTCTGAGGCTCCTATGGGCACAGCCCTGTGCAGAACCCTGTTGGTGTGGTGGGGGCTGTGGGTAACAGGAACCACTAGGGAACATGGGAAATTGGGGCTCGGTCTCTGCTCTAAAACCGGGGCTCTATTTTTCTCCCTGGTCACCTGAGCCCCAAATTCTGCTGGGCCAGCTTCCTGGACCATGGTACCCTTCAGCCCCACGCTTCACTCAAGTACACCTGCCATTCCATAAAGTGCCACCAGAGGGCAGCCTCCTGGTCCTGGGGATGACCCTGGTAGCCTGCCTCTCTGGGACGTCAAGGAATCGAGGCCTCTGCAGGATCCTGCCCTAGGGGTTTGGGGAGGGCAGTCCAGGCTTCTTGGGACCAGGACTCGGCCTGTTCTGGGACCACTAGAATCAGGTGAGAGTCAGGGAAGTCCTCCCCAAGGGCTGCCCAATCTTCCTCTGGTGGCTGCCTGAGGGGGAAGCTTGCCTCCTGGCTCGAGAAATGCAGGGGAGGCCCCAGGCACCATGGGTGCTGGCCTGGGTAAGGAAACTCATAGTGAAACCAGAGAGATCTTGTAGTGAAATTCATTCCGCTCAGCACACCTGCCTCAGTGCAGGGCTGGGGAGGGACCAGGAGGCGACAGAGCCTCCTGCGGTGGCGGTGGCTTGGGGAGGGCCCAGAGCTTTATCTGATGGGCCCCAGCCTTTCTCACAGCTGAGCGGAGCCACCCTGGCAGGCCAACCGTGAGTTGGTGGGCAGGGGCTCTACGGGCCCGTGGCCCCGCCTCCCCGCCTGCCCAGCAGGCAGGGCGGCGGTGAGCCTGGGAAACGTGTGGGCGGCAGAGTGGGCGCCACTGGAGGGGAGCAGGCAGCGAGGGGCTGGGCACTGAGGCAGGTCCCTCCGGGGCTCCAAACCCAACAAACATCAAAACCGGTGACAAAAACTGGGGCAATCTGAGTGCGCGCTTCTAACAAAGCACCACTTTAACGTGTCACCAAATACTGGTGGCCCCTGAGGGCACACGGCCCCCTGGGGCGCTGCGGGAGGCGGTTCCGTGGGCACGGACTGTCTTCTGGGTGCCGTCCCCCAGCTAGAGCTCCCTCTGGTGGGGATATCCTGTGTGGGCTGGTGCCAGAGCCAGCGAGGAAAATGTGGGGCTCTGACTTCCCTGGGTTATGAGGGGTGAGCCATTCTGGAGAAACTGAGGCCCACTTCTCCAGGGGCCCTGTCCAGAGGGGGCCTTCAGCGTCCTGGGTGCCCTCAGAAGGGTTTGAGGAGGGCGGGTCTCAGTGTCAGAAGGGTCTCCCTACTCTCAGTCCTGGCCACCGTACTGCCACTGCCTCTCTGGGTGGGCTGGGCTGAAACCTCCACTGAAGGAGGGGGTTTTGAACCTGTCTCTGCCGCCCCTGTCCTGATGGGAGTTGCCAACTGTGCCAGGAGCCTCAGGCCCACACTGCATCATTGCCAAAGGTCTTTAGGAACAACATCTGTTGAAACTCTTTCTCAAGAGGAATATGATGCATCCTTTTCAGCCCATCTTACCGAAGGGAGATGTGTGAGGTTGGGATTCTACGCAGCTGCACCAGCTCCAGGATGACCATGGGTGGGGGCCCCAGTCAGGCTGCCAGACTAGGTCCTGCTGGGAGGTGAGGTGCTGCCTGGCCAGGCCATGGGGTGGGGTTGGGGCGCTGTCTGGGGGAGATGGGAGCGGAGCTGGCACTCTGTTATCTCCCCATTTCAAAGGGGGAAAAGTTGAGGCACAGAGTGGGATATCAGTCCAAGGTCACAGAGCTGCTAAGTGGGAAGCTGGGATGGCCGGACCCTGGGCCTGCACGCCCTGGAAGGCGTGGGCCTCCTGGTTGGTCCTGGGGCTCCTCACCCCATCCTGCCCCGGGGTCCCTCCCGGCCTTCACCCAGCCTGTCAGTTTGGTGGGCAGAGGCTGTGGTCTGCTGGTGACCTGGTGTGGCTCACCTGGTGGGTCCAACTGGGGCCAGGTGGCTTCTTCTTCCCGAAACTGCCTGTGGTCTTGGGGGGAGGCCTCCAAATGGGTCAGAGGGCGTTTGGCCCCTGCTGTGCACCACCACGTGCCGGATCTGCCCAGGCCTCCCCACGGAGCTGCCCACAGACCCTGCCCTGCAGGCCGCCCTGGGCCGGACGGCCTGCTCACTCTCCCTTCCATGGCGCCTGCCTCCCCTTGCCCACTCAGTGCCTCTGAGGCTCCCTCCGGGGCCCCCTCTGCACACTCGGCGATTTATGGGGCTGTAGTCTCCAGTCTGATGTGCACTTTAAGACCCAGCTGCCCTCAAACCGAGGGTCCCGCAGGGGGCCTCCGCTAGCCCCCCTTATCCAGGGGAGAGCCTCATCCTGCTGCTCAGGGAGGAGCCCTGGGGGTTCCTCCTCGGTGCCTTGCTGTCCCCACCGCTCGTGAGCACTGAAGTCTGGTCCGTACAGTCCTATTCATTGCCCCTTTTCTGAAGAATCTTTAAAAAAAAAACTTTTTTTAACTGAGAACATATTTATTTAATTTTGAGAGAGAGAGAGAGAGAGAAACATCTGTGTGAGAGGCAGCATATTGATGGTTGCCTTCCCTATGCTCCCAACCAGGGATCGAACCTGCAGCCTAGGTATGTGCCCTGACTGCGGGTGGGAGCTGCGCACGTTTGGTGGGTGGGATGGTGCTCCAACCAACCGAGCCATCCGGCCAGGGCTAGAAGGAATCTTATAAGGCCTTCTCGCCATTCCAAAGTGAAATTCATAGATAATTTAACCTGCCGTCATAATTTAAAGAATCAGCCATGGCTGGTGCGGCTCAGTGGATGGAACCAAAGAACCGCGGGTTGCATTCCCAGTCAGGGCACAGGCCCGAGTTGCGGGCCAGGTCCCCAGCAGGGGGCAGGAGAGGCAACCGCACTGTGACTCTCTCTCCCTCCCTTCCCCTCTGTAAAAATAAATAAATAAAATATTTAAAAAAAATCAATACAGTGTCCTAACTTCAAACAGGAAGAAGTGAAAGGAAAGTATTTTGTAACTTGACAACGTGTGTTTGATGAGGAACGTGAGGGCGTGATCTACGGAGGACTCGGGTGCTGGTTCCGGGCACCCGGAGGCCACCGAGCAGACAGGGCGTGGAGGCTCCGTCCAGGCTCAGGTGCCTGCTGCAGCCACTGTGCCACCTTAGGGACACGACTTTCCCACCTTCCGCATGAAACGAGGTTCCATTTGCCCCTACGTTTCCATGCTTGTTACATCCCTGAGGAATTCTGTAAACTTTAAAACAGAGGTGGGTCCCAGACTCTGGCCGTCACCTCAGGGGTGTCACCTCCGCCAGGACCCTCTGCTTCGGCACTGCTGCAGCAGCGGGCACTCTGGCGGCGTCCCAGCCTCCACCTGCTGGCTGCCAGTGGCACCCACACCCCGGCCGTGATGATCAGAAACGTCTCCGACATTGCCAGAGGTCCCTCTGGGGGCAAGATCACCCCATCTCAGAGCCACCAACCTCCCCAGTGTCCGGTGGAATATTAGGACGCTATGGGACATGGGAAAACTTACGGCCAGCAGGACACCCTCCCATCACCTCCCAAGCCCCCCACTGACAATGACGATGGCACTCCCATTACTGCGGCCCCCGACACTTCCCTGCGTGTGCTGGAGCACCACTGGGGAGAAGCACAGCTACTGTGAGGGCCTCTCACCTACCTGGCTCTGGATCGGGGGTGGGGGCAGCCATGCCGAGAAGCCCCGTCCCCTGCCCCACATACACTGTAAGAGCGGCCATCCTGATTTCTCCCTGGGACCCACCCCCGCCTCCTCCCCGGCCCGTGCAGGGACATCTGGCCCATCCCCGCCATGGCCCCGCGCCCCCCATGCTCCGCCGGCCTTGCCTGTTTTGACCCCTGGTTTCTCCCTAATTCCTGCCTTTGTCTTCCAGCAGCTCAGGGTCTTGTCCTGCCTCGGTGCCTCGTCCTCTGGACACCCTGGAATTGCACCTGAGTCCTTGGTCCTGAGGAGCTTCTCAGCCCAGGCGTCTTCTCCAGGGAGCCCTCCCTGTGGCCCCACCCCTGCGTGGGCTTCCCCAGCCGCCACCCCCAGCAGCACCTGCCCTTGGATTCATCCCTGGAGCTGTCAGAATCCGCTCCAAGAAGGGGACCTGCCCGAAACCATGGTTTCGTTCAGTTCTGTTTTCACTGACACACACCGAAGGGGGCCGGTGCGGGAGACCAGCGGGTTATAGCACTGGAAGGGGACCGTGACCCCACCCAGCACCTTGGCTCCCTGCTCAGACCTCCTGCTCCTTCTCCTGAAGGAATATGGGGAGGCGGGAACTTGGGTGGACACGGGAACTTCTCCATCCAAGAGTGCCCAGCTTGAAAGAGCTGGCTGAAGCCAAAGCAGAGCTGGTGCTGTGGGCTGGTGCTGTGGGAGAGCCTGAGGAGGCGGAGGACCCCTTAAATTCCTACCTGGGGGGCCCCTTAGATTGCCCAGCCTCAAGCCCAGCCCCTGGCATCTACTCTGGTGGAGCCTGAGCCTCCAGCCCCTCAGGTGTCCCTGGAGCATGGAGCCCTGGGCGCACAGCAGCTGAAGGCACCCTGGGGCTGGCCTTCGCCTCCCTTCATCCACCGCAAAGCCGGCCCGCTCCTGACCAAGGTTTATGCGAGGCAGCAGACAAGGGCTTCGGGCGGCAGCCGCCCAGCCTGGCCTCTCCTTGGCCCTGGGAAGATATCCCCTCTCGTCCTGTGGGTGCCCCGGCTTCCGAGATACCTCCTCTGTGCAGCGCAGGGACTGGAGGCCAGGGGGTGAGTGGAGGGATCTGGGAGGGGCACCGTGGATGAGGCCATCTCTAAGCTAGCAGGGCTGGGCACACAGCGGTAAGGGACACCTGGGTCCTGGGAGGACACACTGGGTAAGGACCCTGACCCTCTCCCTCCTGGAAAGTGAGGCATCGGCAACTTTTGTCTGTCAGCTCCTGCCGGCCTCGGTGCCGCATCTGGGAAGTGGGGAAAGAGACCTTCGTCTCCCTCCCCTGGTGACTACTGGGGAGAAGGCCGGTAGCGTACCTAAAAATGGTTCCTTCAGGCCCCTGGGTTTGGGGTCCCAGGCCTGGGGCACCGCCTCCGACTGCTGGCCATGTGCGCCCCCTGCCTCAGTGGCTCTCACACGGGTTGCACAGCCATCCTGCCAACCAGGCCTTTCCCCCATTTCCTGCAGCTCCTCTCAGTGAGGCAAAGAGCCTGGCCCTGGCTCAGCTGCGGTCGCTCCTGGCCGCCGTGGGCGCGCCTGATCCCGGGCCTGGCCTGTTCCCAGGCCCCTCCCCTGCCTGCTGTCCCCAGGGGTCAGCACCTTGCCCATGGGCTGGTTCTTCGTAGGCTTCTGGGAGGGGTGGCAGCCTCCTGAGTTCTTCCTGTTTCTTGACTTTGGCCTTGTGCCTCTGCCTGGGGTTTGTTTATGCCAGCGGTGGAGTCGGAGGTGTCACTATGCAGTTCCCTCCGGGCCTCGTCCCCAGAGGACGGCAGCTGGTGGGTCCACCGGGGAATGGGAGGTGACCGGAGGGCAGCAGCGGCTCCAGCGGGACACCAAGACCTCAGCTTAGAGGGCCAAGGGATGATCCCACGGCCGTCCCCGGTGTGCGGGAAGGATGAGAGAGGGTGTGAGAGTGAGCGCGTGGGTGTGAGCCCCAGAATCGTCGTGGGAAATGGGGAGCACATGAGTGGGCGGAGGCCTCAGCCTGGGCACCCATGTGCCCTGACACCTGCTGGGAAGGAGTTTGGGAAATGGGGGAACGCAGTGCACCACACATGTTGGCCACTAGGTGTCACCAGGAGCCCACAAGACAGAAGCCGGGCCCAGGTGAGCGGCTCCCCAGGTGCGCTCTTTCCCTCGGGCCGGAGGTGCTCCCTGGTCTGTTGAGCTGTCTGAGCGTCCAATAGCTGTGTTGAGCCAGTGGGGCGACGTTACCCTGTCCCGGAGGAGACATTCTCCACGGAGGCAGCCTGCCCCCACCTCCTCCGCACACTGGCCCCGCTGAGGACCGAGCGAGTGGGTGGTGGGGAAGCACAGCCCTTCTCAGCCACCCTGCCCCTCCCGGGACCGGGCACCCGCTGCAGGGTCCCCTTCACGCCAGCACCTCCAGGCGAGCACTTCGACCTGCACCCTGGGCTCCACACCCCGAGTCGTGTGGCACGAAACACGAGAGCCGCCAAACGAATGAACCAGGGAACTGGTGACGGGGACCCTGTCACACAGGAAATAAATCATGGGGGGACAGGGAGGGCCACTGGGGTGGCTGCTTTGGGGAGTCCTCAGGGAGGGCCTTTGCGAGCAGCTGGAAAAGCGATCAGTCCTGTGAACAGCAGAGGGCGGAGCATTCGGGGCAGCCAGACAGTGTGTGCAGAGGCCCTGGGGCAGGAACAAGCCAAACCTGTTGTTGGTTGAACGCTGAGGCCTGTGAGGATGGAGTGCGGGGATGGGGCTGGGGAGGCGGGAGGAAATGGACCACGAAGGACGTCGGGCCGAACTGCTTTCTTCCCCCCACGAACACTCGATGTAGAGAGTTTCTCAGGGGCCACCCCTTGCAGTGCTATGGAGCCTTCCTGCCGAGATGTGGCTGACGAGTCTGTCCTGTCCGGGGCAGGTTGCGGCCGGTAAGGACCAGATGGTACAGCTTATGGGTGATCCTACAGGCCCCAGGCTCCAGGTCCCTGTGGGCTGAGAAGCAGGTAAAACTCCAGAGAGCCTTCCCTCAGGGGAGGAGGGCTCCCCAAGACAGGGCAGGACTGGCCCATCTCACTCCCAGGCTCCTGGGTAGAGCCCCCTGGGCTGGGAGCAAGGCTGAAGGGGGACAGGGCAGAGGGAGGGAAGGGTCACAGAGGTCCCACGCTGAGGTGCTCTGCAGCCCAACTCCCTGCAGCGACTCCACACCCTTCGGAGTAAATCCAAGAGTGCACCATGGCAGCGACCTTACATACAGCCCCCTCACCTTGCCCACCCCGTCAGGCACTCACTCTCCTCGCACCCACTTGGCTCCAGCCACCCTGCTTCTGAAGCCAGCGCGTTCCGGCCTCCGGGCCTCTGCCCTGCCCTGCCCTCTCCCTGGACCGCGCTGCCGGACATCCTCAGGCCCGTTTCCTCGCCTCCCACGGGGCTGCTCAGATGGCGCCTTCCAGGAAGCTTCCTTTGACACTGTTTCGCTGCAGATCGCGCCCCCTGCTTCCGTGCTCTCCCTTCACTCTGTCCTGCTTCTCTCCCAGACCACCAGGTGAAATTCCACGTATTTTACTTACTTCCTTTTATGGCTATCTGCCCCACGAGCCCCGCTAGAGCGTGAGCTGATCTGTTTTGTCCGCTGTGTTGGACGAATGCATGAACGGGAACAAGAGGGACGGGGCTGCCCTCATCTCTCCCGACCTTGTCTGTCTCCCGCAGGACCATGTTTGGACTTCAGCCTCTATCCCTCCGGAGCAGAACCAAAGGATGGAACAGAGTGCTGTCTGCCCCAGAGGCCCTAGGCGTTGTCATGCTCGGCTTGGTCGGCTTTGGGTCTCGCCAGCTCCGCTGGATGGGCTTACGGGGAGGTGCTCCCCACGGGGAGCTTCCTGGGCCGGTGTCAGCTGGCAGCGTTGGGCCGGGGTTTGCAGAGCCACCGACCACAACACAGCTGGCCCTGCTCTGTGCCCTGTGCACCATGTTTTAATCCAACACGTCACACTTAATGGCCTTAGGCAAACACTGCGAGGTGTGGAATGAGGCATCGTGGGGGGCCCCACGCGTTACACAGGGGAACCGGGAACATGCAGGGGGATGTGGGAGCCACATGGTGGGGAGAGAGGAGCCATAACTGCCCTGCCCCTCTGTGGTGGGGGGAAGCCAGTGGGCTCTTGGGTGGAGTTGCCCTGTTATTGGGGTCTCCCCAGGTCAAGGCTTGGGGGGGCCCTTGGAGCCTCTCCCATGCCTGCCTTTGGTGGGAGGGCGTGAAGGGGGCCCTCACCAAAGGGCTGGGCCGCAGGGCACCCCCACGGCTGCCCGGCCCTGAGGTGGACCTCACCTCTCATTGTCTCTTCTGATTTCCAAGAGGTCTTTACATCAGAAACCCTCCTGGAGTAACACTGACCCCTGGCAGGAGATGAGGGGTCCAGGGCCAAAGGTTGCTTTAAAGGACTCGGCTGAGACCTCAAAAACAGACTGCTAGAACCGAAAGGTCAAAGTCTAGCCGAGAGATTTAAAAATATTTTTGGAGAAATGTCCTCAGAAGCCCAATACTTAAGAGCAATGCTCTTTTGAGGAGGAAGGTGGGGAGCTGGAGCATCACTTTGGGGAGACCTTGGAGCGATCTAAAGGAAACCGAGGGGTTCCATGGAGGACAGTTTGCAAAACAGCAAATATCAAGTTACTGTTCCCTGCCAGGCGGAACCTTATGGCAGTGAAGGGGGCTCCTTTTGCTGACAATGACTCTTAGAGCCAGTCTGCAGTACCTGATGCTCCCAGCAGGGGTCACTGCTAGGAGGAGGCCTCTGGCCAGGCCGTGGTGGCATCCAGGAGAGCTCTGGACCCCAGTGGGCCACGTGCCTCTGCCTCAGTGCCAGTGACCTCGAGCCTGGGTCTGCTTCGAGCTAGGGGCCACCACATGCCCTCCCAGTGGACAGAGCTGCCCTCTGGTCACACGGCCAGCTTGGCCAGGGCTGGTCGGAAGCCCTTAGCTCTAGGACAGCTGCCAGGGCTGGACCATAGGGACTGGTAAGGGTTTCTGGCTGAGCCAGGATCAGGCCATTCCAAGGGACAGCTGGAGTGTCTCTCCAGTCAGCACCTGGAAGGGGGCCAGCCTGGCCTCTGGCTCCGGCCAAACACATGTAAGTACACACAAACACACACAGCAAACCCCGTGTGCACATAACCACATGGGTCACATACTTACTGCGCATAAACACGCACAGACACAGGCACCGACAAGTGTGTGGATGCACACACATGCACATGTGCACAGGCACACATACACACACTCCCCACTGTCCCTCCCCGGGCAACCTCAAGTGTGGATGCAGAAGCACCTTTGGGCCCCCTCTTTCTGGAGTTCACCCCACCCCACCCCCACTCTGGTCGTGGCAGCTCCTCCCTGCACTGGCCTCAGCCAGCCTGTACTGGTTGGTGTCTGTGTGGGGGGGTAGTGAGGGGCAGCGGGAGTGTCTGGCTGCCTCTGGAGTGCTCTGGGCAGAGGCTGGGGGTGGGAGTGTGGTGGGCTCACTACATCTTTCTGGGGTAGTGGAGAGCTGGCTTCGTGCCCGTATCCCACAGAAGTGAGCCGGGCACAGGGTGGTGGTGCGGGGGACAGTCTGGCTCCCGGGTGCTCTGGTCACCCGGGCTCACCCCAGAGCAGGTAAGGCTGAGGCGGCCTTTGAGGCCCGCTGCAGCTGCGCGTCCCCTCCCCTGGGGAGCTGGTCCGGCCCGCAGCCCACTGTCCTCTCCAAGAGCAGGTGGGCTTACTGGTTCTTCGGTCCCCAACTTTCCCGAGCCTCGTCACCTCAGACTGAGCGCTGGGGGCTGGAGCGCGTGGCCCCCCGTCCCTGCTGTTCCCTCCGGCCATAAAGGCGCAGCACGTGGGACCACCAGCCCTAGGGTACTAACTGCAGCCACTCGTGGTATGACAATCAACTGGAGCCACGAGAGGGGCTCCGTGTGCCCAAGCCCGCTCTGGGGAGGCTCTGCTGAGTCCAGTGTGCTGACCAGGAGCCTGTGCCCACTGCCCTCGGCAGGGACAGAGGTCTGTCGCCTCCCCCAGCAGATCAATACCTCTAAGGCCGCTGTC